ATTTTATTTTGGCTACAAAGTCCCAACTATCTCAAATCCTCCCTCCCTATCTCTCAGCTGCACTGTGGCAACCCTGAAGCTGCAAGATGGCCTCACTCTAGTCAGCTTCAGGGTTGACACTCTTCTTGCTGACCTCTGTTTTGCACATGTTGCTTGATCAGGAAAATATTTTGTTCTTAGTTTTATATCCCATAGCTGATTTCAACATCTGCAAATCCCAATTTCTCAGCTGTTGTGACTTGTGAATAGCTACTATTTGTTATTCACCAAGTATGGCTTAGCTAGACATCAGAACCCACCTAGAGAAAAGTGGCTAGACTGAAAGCAATTCAGAAGTCTTCAAACATGCCTGGTTTCTTATTATGAATACTCATAAGAATATACATATAAGAAATACTTTCTTCAGCCACTTGACCCTCCTACTTGTAGGCTTAAGTAGTAACAATTCATGACATGTTTTAGCTACCCAGTTTCTGCAGAATATATAAATTGGACCCTAAAATTGTTTTTGAGATGTCTAGTTTTAAATAATTTTTCAAGGTAGTACAGTAGCAGAATGCTTTTCTGATTCAGTTAATCGGTTGATGGCTTTTTACTTCCTTTTTCACTCGATCTTCATGTGAGACGCCTTCGAGGGCAACCTAGACAAATTACTTTTCACTTTCATCATTGCAATTCTCTCTGCATCTAGGAGCAATCTCAGTGTGATGAGTAACATGGTTGCATGCCAATGTGGACTCTGCATCAATAGCCTGGTAAGCAAATGTCAAGGAATTTCAGTATTTATGCTTCTGCTTTGCATGCTTCAGTTTGTTGGTTTGATTGCTTCTTCCTCACTTAAACATATTTAGACAGATATGTAAGGGGAGAAGCATTTGGGGGAAGCTGAAGGGGAGGCAGTCCCTTGCCTGGGAAAACGAAGGGTCAGGGCTGGAAGTGACCAAGCCCAGAATGGCTTGAATTGGATGTGGGCCCTTGGCTAATGACTGGTAGAATTCACTTAGCGACTGCTGTTGCTAAGCAATGTGGTTGCAGTTTACAACTGCATTGCTTGGCAATGGGAATTCCAGTCCCAGTTGGGTTGGAGATGGAGAGCTACCTGTAAAATAAAAAACAGAAGATACTGCCCTGCTTGTGAGCTTTCCATAACATCTAGCCCGCCATATTAGAAAGCAAAATGCTTAATTAGAGACCTTCAGCTTTATTGAGAGCTGTTCTTAGAAAGTTATGAACGCAAGATGGCATCCAATTGAAAACATCCTATATTCTCTTCACATGTGTACATAACAAGAAAAGGAGGGATTGGGGCTAATTGGCAACTGGACAAGCAACAGCTTGCTTCGCCCACATAGAAATTTGAATTTTCTCTTTTAAGGGGATGACTGAGGAAAAGCTCCAGTTGCTCTTAGAAGAAGGCCTGATGGAACACAGCCAACATTGTCAGCACTGTCCTGAATTCACTGTAACTAATATGATGGAAGGAGAAGCTAATCTTCTTATGAGCTGTCAGGTAATCTTATGAGCTGTCAGTATCCAAACTTAGTGAGAATATTGCACTAATTCACTCCCAAGAATTTTCCCCCAAGAATTTTTATCTGATTTTTTACAAAAATCAGAAGCATTGTTTCTTATACACAATATTGTGACTCCAATGCTAATGTCACCCTCTTGAAAAGTAAAGATGTCCTTGAGCTGAGCTCAAATATTTGTGGCTGCATCCATGCAGCTTTCTTGGTTCACCCAAGAAAATAATTTAATAATAATAATAATAATAATAATAATAATAATAATAATAATAATAGTTGTTGTTGTTGTTATTATTATTATTATTATTATTTTTATATACCGCCCATTCTCCCGAAGGACTCAGGGCGGTGTACAGCCAGAATTAAAATACAAATATACAATATCTAGTTAAAATTAATTAAAATCATTAAATAGTTTTGGCCGAATTTTAAAACCCAAGAAAATGCCTGAAATCAGCCATGGTTACTTTTTGGTCATCTTTTTATTCTGCTTAAAGACTTTGACTAAAAAGTAAATGTTTTTTTTAAGTGGAACACAAAGCAGAATAGCTAGCTTAACCTTTCTGTAGAGTATCCCTGTTTTGCAAGTACTGGCCACAAAGAATGCTTTCCTTACTCATAACTATTAGAGGGAGAAAAACCCTCTAGCCATGATGGCGAACCTATGACACACGTGCCAGAGGTGGCCCGCAGAGCCCTCTCTCTGGGCATGTGCGCCGTTGCCAGCTGCTCTTCTGGTTTCTGACGTACAGATGTGCGCCAGCCAGCTGGTCTTCGTGGGTGCTGGGGCACCGGAAAACGGCCAAGCAGGCCATTTTTCGGGCCGTTTTTCAGACCGAAAAACTGCCTGAAAACTGCTGAAAAACAGGCATGTGCGCGCTGGTCTTCGGGTTTCCAGTGCTCCGGCACTCACAAAGACCAGCTGACTGGTGCGCATCTGCGTGCGTGAAACCCGAAGACCGGTGCGCCGGCCAGCTGGTCTTTTGTGTCTCCAGCGCGCACATGCATGTGCATTCGTTTGGGCACTTGGGTTCGAAAAAGTTTGCCATCACTGCTCTAGAGGGAGGTGCTGTAGCTTTCCAAACTTAGAAGATATGTTTAAAAAGTTACATAATGTTGCTCAGTGGGAAAGAGCCATAGCTGTATTTAAATACACACTAGCACTTTGTGAATGAATCAGGATTTTATTTAAGAAACAATAACTTGCATTTATTTCCTTTTGCTTCTAGGCTTGTGATTCCTGGACAGTGATTTTTTAATTCCATCTGTATAGCCCTACAGTGTTGTAGAAAGACATTGCTGCTGTCTCCCCTGCCCTCTTCTTTATGTATATAATACTCACAATGTATATAAGCACAAAAAGTGTCCTATTTTTTTAATTTAACTGGATTTATGCTATTTTTTTCTAATGTGTCCTGATGAATAAACGCCTTTTATGATAAGAACTGGGGAGTATAGGTTTGGAGTAGACTTTTCTGGTTGCAGCACTTTTTTGTACAAATTCTTGGAAATTTTGATCCAAATTGCATGTACTTTCATAAGGGGATTAAAGGAATTGCTATATGTGAAGCACCTATTTTGCAAAGACTATCTCCTAGATTCCAACGGGTGAAACTTTTGTTTAAAGCTCAGATAACAGAAGGGGATGGATATATGTCATTCTTGGACATGTTTAAAGGCCAGGACCAACAATTGTACAATTAAGATTTGGCCAATATACCAGTTACCGACTCTGAAATCCTGTCACTTAGTGGAAACAACACTGGAAGTGGCCTGAGTACATAAAGTAGAATAATGCATATCATCTTTTTAATAACATCTGGAAATACAGTTGTATGGGTGGGCAATTATTCTTTTCTCCCAAATATGCTGGTGAAATTCAGAGCTGTGATTAAAAGAGGGGAGGGCAAACTACCCCTCTCAATAACTAGACTCTGGTAGCCCTAATGTATCTTTTTAGATGATACACTACCCCTTATTCCACAAAAGGGGTTTTCGCCTGGCCTCCTTTTGACCCAAAGAATTCTGCTTCTTGGTAAGCTATGGCATAAAGATCCACTGAAAATGGAAATACAGATTTCTGTTGCAAGCTCGTTTTCTGGAACTTTATGGGAAAGCTGTTGATTGGTAGTTTCCATTTTAGAAAATCCCAGAATCTGGGCTAGGGAAGTCCCTGATGTATAAATCGGCACATTACTCAGCCATGTTTCTCTAATTTTGAGAGCCACCTTAGCAAAGAGATTGGATAGTATAGGAAAAACCCATATAAAATACTGTATTATTTAAACACAAGCTGGGATAGAGGGACAAGAATATACCATCAAGTATATTAACTATTTTCCACATTTTGGAGGAAACATTCTTTGAAATCAAGTAATTAAAATTACCTTATGATAGCCAAGCAGTATCTGACCCAGATAAAATATCATTTTGTAGTTCCTTCTATCTTCTTAAATATAGCCTGTCATTGATGCTGTATTCTCACCAAAATATGTAATATAAATTGGGTACTTCCATTGGCATTATTTTCCTTGCTAGCTTTAAAAGATCAGATTCAAGTCAGATGCAAAATGGTGGTTCGTATAGATTAGTTGGCCTAATTCACATTACATCCTAGTGTAATGTACCCCTGAACATACAGTATAACATATTTGCACTAATACACCAAATGTATTAATTCCTGCCAACATCAGTTCTGATCAGTGTTATATGCTGCACTTAAAATGATTGTAATTTTTTTCTGTTGGGCTTTGTAAAAAAAGGGCTGGCTCAATATTCAGTCAAGCTATGGACTAGAGTTAGTTTTAAGCAGCATGTATTGGTTCAAACAGTTCCATTACTGGTATTCTGTTTTGAACCCAAAAAGGCCAATGTGATTCCTTTCTCTTATCCTTTTGCCAACAGTTGAAAGTTTTCTTTAAATAATCTTTTGTGTATAATTTTGTGATCTTTTTTAAAAACTTTCTGCGTTGTTGACCAACTTGAGTTTTGTTAATTGGAAAGGCAGGATATAATTTAAGAAATAAACTACCTCTAAAGCTGTTAACTTTGATTGTGATGTTTTCTGTTACTTGAAATCCAGATGCAAAATTACCTATTGCTTCTCTTCAAACACTAAACTACTATAAGATTCTTCATGTTCTCTTAGGCTATAATCCATTGTACAATCAGGACACAGAATTAAATTGGTGCCCTTTATGAAGCTTTGAGCAGAACCTGCAGTATCGTTTTAGCAATTTCAATTATTAACGGCTTAAAATGGGATCCTAGCTTGACTTTATTTCCACTTGCCGGATAGTCTTCCCACAACTATGGCCATACTCCTGAAAGCAAAAGAGATTAATCAACTGAGCTTTAAACTTCATTCCAGGGGGAAAGATGGAACCTCAGAAAAGTGTTTTCTTATTTGCAAATTATGCAAATAAATCATGACTGCCACACAAACCTCTTGGAAATATTTCCAAAGAAAAAAAAAACGGATTGAAATATGTTTATTATATTGTTACACAGTCACTTTCTCAGTCTGTTCATTTTGCCCTCCACTTCCTGCACAATATTATGCAGTTTAGCGGCAGTTTTTGTCAAGGCAGCAAAGCTTTCTTTAAGGTTTCCAGTCCCTTCATTTCTGCCTATATTGTCAAGACCATCAAACCATTGTAGAATCTCTTCAAGATGTCCCTGGACAACCTTTTGCTCTTCTAGTTCTGTTTTTAGGGCTTGCTCTGCACACGTTTCAGCTTTAAGTTCTCTTTCAAGTTGGCTGATTTCATTCTCCAGCTCCTGAAACTGTTTTGCAGTGTAGCAGAATTCCTCTTGGAGTTTATCTTCTGGAAGACAAATGTTCTTGGGGATGCTTAAAACTGTGCTTAAAAGAGGTTCTTCCATCTTAGTGAACAGATTGTCGAAGCGTTCCTTCATGAAAGCAAAGAATTTTTCTGTGCTCCTCCGGATTAAAGTAGGTGTAAGACTAGGACAGATGCTCTCTAGTTTATTCAATATAACTTTCTCCACTACCAGCATTATATGAGAAAGGTGATCTTGAAAAGCAAAATATATCCGCAACATGAACGTTTGAGGGGTAAAACCAAAAAACTGGGCTTCATATGTCATTAGATTTATTGACATGTTGAGAAATACCTGGAAAGAACATTGTTAAAAAAATAAATTAGTCTTTAGTAAGTTAATTGGAATGTGTTCATACATTGTACTATATTGTCAGTCCTTTGAGGTAGTCTAGACAAGAAATACCAACCATGAGTTACAGTAGCAGAATTTCTGATAGTACATCTCTTCCCCCCTTACCTTTACGGTCCAAGAAACTAAGGAGGGTTCCTTCTGAGACTTTTGCTATACTATTACTTCTGTGGGCTAAGGTGACTCTTATCTCACTGTTACTTAGTCTGCTGCTGCTCCGCCTGGTCCTGTTTTTCTAGGACATTCTCACAGATAATTAGACCTGTACATAAAAACGTATACAAAGAATCATAGGGCTGGAAAGAACCCCAGAAGTCTTCTAGTTCAGCGGCCCCCAACCTGTTGGGCACCAAGAACTGGTTCTGTGGAGAGCTTTTTCCGTGAATCAGAGGGGGCACGGATGTGGCTTCATTTGTTTGCGCAGTCTCATTTCTGGCATGCTATGGCCCAGAATCAGTCCCTGGACCAGGTGTTGGGGAACCCTGTTCTAGTCCAACCCCCTGCCCAAGGCAGAAGACCTTACACCATCCTGGTCAAATGATTGTCCAGTCTATTTTTGAAAACTTCCAGTGATGAATCACCCGCAATTCCAGGGGGCAAGCTATTCTACTGATTAATTGCTCTGTCAGAAAATTTCTGCTTACTTCTAGGTTGGATCTCTAATCCATTACTTCTTGTCACATCTGATGTTTTGGAGAATAAATCAATCCCCTCTTCTCTGCGAGAGCCCCTCAAGTACTGGAAGACAGTTGTCACGTCCCCCCTAATTCTTCTCTTTGGTAGGCTAAACATATCATTACCCATTAACCAAGCCATAGTAGTATGTGGTTAGTTCAGTATATCATGAAAGTTGGATTCATATCACTTGCTGAAATAAAATGGTTTAGCACAGTGTATGACTACTATTAGAACTGGTCAGGGTGAATAAAAATTGATGATTAAGAAAAAAAATTTAAAAATCATTTTTTTTGTTTAAATCAATTTTTTTTATTTTTATCAAATTTATTTTAATAAATGCTTTTGGAGTAAAAATCTATCTAAAGATAGTTTTCTATTTAAGATACATTAATAATTTAGTTTATTCAGCATGAAATGGAGTTATGTAGCATGAGGCTGTATATTCTGCAATATTTACATTTTTGGTAAACTCATTCAATGAATCCAAGCTCTGCAAGCTGAGATAACATGCACTGCATTGATGCATTCACACAATTTCACAGTAACCATGAGATAAATCATAAAACAAAGTTCAGGAATATTCCTTTATCCCATTGCTTTGGAAATCTATGTACACTACAAACTGTATGATTGCTTGAAGAGAAATGGATCTGTACCACCAGACTCTAAGTGTGAGGAGGAAAGGCAAGCAGTAAAAATGAAAGTGAAACCTTCTAAGCAGTTTATAAATATATTAAAGAGCACCTGTCATTTCAGATCCAACATGGCAGCGCTTGTTAGTCCACTCACCTGCTGCCTGCCACGTCCCTCACTTTGTTGTGTCACTGCCGCATCACCAGCCATCCCATTAAAGTGAATGGGACTGTCGGTTAGTTAACAGCGGGTCAGAGGAGGAGCCACTGCGGGACAGATGACAGTTGCTCTTTAAAAATTATGATTTAAATAGACTTGATTTAAATCAAATCCATTCTGGAACTGATAAAGTATTCCAAGCATTTGGGCACATAGATATATATATATAACTTCTTTAAAAGAAAAAAAGACATGATACTTGTAAAAATAGGAAATTTGGGGGGGGAAAACACCCAGTGTCTTATGAACAGGAAAAGGGGCAAGCGGTCATACAATGAGTGCCATACAAATCAAATCATTCATTCAGTAGACACCCAACCTCATTGCATAAACATTTTTTTATATTCAGAATTACTTGATACTTGTAAAATAAAAAAGCCTATGCAACTTGATAGCTAAATAAAATTCTGAATACTAATTCCGTATTATTGAAATGGTTATTAAATGGGCTGATTTATTCCAGGAGAACATGCTTGAAACTGAGCAGTATTATATTACTAGAGAATGTTTCAGACATTTAAAAAACAGCTATTTTGAAAGAATTCAAATATTCAAAATTTACTGAAATCAGGCAACCCGCTTTTCTGAGGAAACTTGATGGAAAGCATTGCCTTGGGCTGTTATATTGGATGGTGGAATTTTATATATAAAGGAACTTGCAAACTTTGCTTTTTTGAATTAAATAAATTCCAATGCCAAACTTGTTGAGCCTCAGAACGCTTTCTAATTAAAGGGCTCTAAACACCACTTATTATTGAATTTGGATTTTTTTCCTGAACAATACAGTAGTTCTCAATAGTGAAAAATTACCTCTGATAATTTTTTCCCAAAGAATACATTTTTTAAGAGAAAACTTGGCATTTGGACTAATAATCAATTAGATCTTAGTGATGAAAGCTATAATAAACTGGCATCAGCATACTGTGCTTATTTGTCATAATTGAAATATACTTCCACTTCAATTAAGTGGAAAATAGTGAAAAATAAATAATTTTTCCTTATAGAAATCTACGCAAAGTAATTTTGACGGATATTCAAAGTTCAACAAGTTCCAAAAGCAGAACTGTTAGAAGCAGTTTCTTCTTTCCAGATAAACAGCTATAAAATATAAATAATCTCATACACATTTACCTGAAAGCAATTCCTTTTAAATTTAATAGGACTTCTTTCCAAATAGATATATGCTTGGTTGGGTTTTAAAAACAGGAATGTTATACTAACAGAAAATTGAATAGGAACATCCTGTAGGTTTCCAAATGCTTTCAAATAGATTGATAAAGGATGTCCATATACTAATTGTTTTACTGTCAAAACTCCAGCCCAAAATAGAATAGAATAGAATTTTTATTGGCCAAGTGTGATTGGACATAGCAGGAATTTGTCTTGGTGCATATGCTCTCAGTATACATAAAGTAAAAGATATGTTCATCAAGAATCATAAGGTACAACACTTAATGATAGTCATAGGTTACAAATAAGCAATCAGATTATTTCGTTTGGAAACCAAACGTGAATGGGTCAGAATTTCAGAATTTGATTGGATCCAGAAATGATGGGAGAGATAAAGGATAATGTTGGATTATATAGATGATGGTATAATTATGGTAATCAATAAGTATTGGAAATGTAAATTTGTATATAAGAATATGTAAATAGTTGCTATTTTTACTTTCTGATTATTGGTGTATATATACATGGATATTTTGGTGATGTTACACCGTGATAGAAAAACTATTATACATTTGTTTTTGTTTTTTTGAACTATAATAAAAATTTATTAAAAAAAAAACTTCAGAATTTAATTCAATTTTTTAGATTCATGTTTGCCTTAAACAAGCCAGAAATTTATCTCGTACAAACCTTCCAGTGCTGAAGGAGGACAATAATGTGACCCCCTCAACCCTGTAAAATGCCAGGATAGACAGCGATTTCCCTTGAAGTGATGCCCAATTGTTCTTCCATTTATCATCCTCTTTTATTTGTCCGGTTGTTGTCATTTCATTCTTGATCAGACAAGTCGGTTCTTCCCAATTCCCCATCTTTACATTTTTGGACCCATCGATGTACAGTACTCACGTCGATACAGTCATCCCCATAAATAGCCTGCATTCGGCGATGAATTTCAATTGGAGGGACTCCTTTGGCGGTTAAAAACTCAATCACAGCACGTTGCTTAAAGCGTATGGCTGAGTACTCAGTGCAGGCTTCCATTTCACCCAGCAATTGCAACCCAACCTTTTCTCTCTCTCTCTCTTTCATCAACTTCCCGCCAACTGAAGCGAAAAAAGAGATGCTAAAAAAAACAGGTCAGAGGTTCCAGCACTGCCATCTGTTGGCCAGCTAGCATTGGGGCCGTCGCTTTCCTTTCAAGCCCGACAAGAGGCAGCACGATTTGATTTAATGCCTCAAAAAAAACAGAGAGAGAGAGAGAGAATGGCAACGTTGGGCCTGAATCGGAGAGGCCCGGATCCGAATTCGAATTCAGGCCAGTCTCTCTTCCTTCAGCCCAACCTGCCTCACAGAATGGAAGGGAGACCTACATTTATCTATTACAGGGGTCTCCAACCTTGGCAACTTTAAGACTTGAGGACTTCAATTCCCAGAGTTCCTCAGCCAGCAAAGCAAAGCTGGCTGAGGAACTCTGGGAGTTGAAGTCCACAAGTCTTAAAGTTGCCAAGGTTGGGAGACCCCTGATCTATTATTTCTAAGGTGCGCATACACTTACGCCATAGACACCCACCTAGGGTTGCCAGGTCTGCTTCCAAAAAATAGCGGACAAGCGGGGTGGGGGGTTAAGTAGTAAAAAAAATAAAAAAATTTTTTACAATTAAATTATATATTTTCTTACATTTTAACACATATTAAAATAATCACTTCAAAACTTTACTTAAAATTCAAAATATCAAATATAATAATATGTAAAATATTAAATTACATTTTACTTTGCTGTCGTGTGTATTTTTTATTTGACTGCGCAGCTTTGATCAATTCTGTGTGTTTAAGGAATAATTCTTTAATTTCAGTACAACGTTGAGAAATATTAAAAAATATACAAAGCTCATTTCGAACTGATGGTACAAGCAGTCGGTTACGTTCGTCAGTCCACAAATTTCCCATGATGCTGAAAATTTGTTCAACATTTGCATTTGATACCGGAATTGATGCACAGTATTGGAACAGTTTCAGTAAACTCGGAGCTGGCTCTTTCTTGAAAAAGCATGTCCACTTATCAAGGGATGAATTGCCCTGCAGATGAACATAAACTTCTTCTAAGGCAGAAATTTCATCGAAGAGAGTGTTGGGTGGAAGTTCTTCTCGCCATGGTGATATTAACCAGATGTTCGTCATTTCTTCTAAAGTTGGAGGATTATTGCGATCAATTAGATTGAAACAATTTAGCGTCTCATATACTGAATCGGTGAAATTATACCACTTTTCTAGGTACGCAATGGCTCTTTGATACACGTTGATGGCTTCTTTCTTGAACTTTTGCATGGCATTCTCAGGCAAATGTTTTTTATGTAAGGCAAATAAAACTTTCATTCCAAAAAACTGCTTATCGTATTTTTTTTGCAAAGAATCACGCAGCTTACACATGATAATGTGAAGATCACATGCAAGAATTTTCTTGCTTTCCAGCTTCAGTAGGGTGTCTTGCATTATTGACATGAAGAAGTGCGTGAAATATAAATACAATTCTGAAATAGTTGGTTCATCGTCCTTTGCGAGTTCATTTTCCTGATCCGAAATAAGGTTCCAGATAACCTTATGGCACTCATCCGATCCAAGAGAAATAAAATACGATTTTAGAGGTATCCAGTTTAAAAGAAGTCTTTCGACCACTTTAAACAAACTTAACCAACGTGTTGGAACATGGCGCAAAACTTCATGGAATTCTGACTCGCAAAACTCAAAAAATGATTTCAACTCTTCTCGTTTCTTCGCAGAATTCAAAAATTCGGCAAAAACCTTCAGCACTACATTTTCGATATCAAAAGATAACTGCTTTAATGCATTTTTTGCGCTGTTGTGTAAAATGTGATTATTGCAATGAGCAGCTACAATATTGTCATTTTCCAGCAATAATTTTTGGTAAACAGATTTGTTCATTCCATAATTGACGGATGCATTTTCTGCTGAGTAAGCTGAAACATTATTTATTTCCAATTCGTTATCACTAAGAATTCGACACAGCTGATTTTTTATTGATGTAGAATCTTCGAAAGAATCCTCATAAAAGTCTAAAATTTTCACACAGTCCTTCTTCACAAGTAAAATATTGTGCAACAACAGGATACATTTTGCGATTTCCCTTGTTTGATGCGTCAGTGGAGAGAGAAAATGGAATTCCAGTTTTAAGATCATTGAGAACCAACTCAATAGAAAAAGGATACAAAACCTCATTGACAATAGCTGATTTGGTTCTTCCACAAGACATCTTTTTTACAATTTCTGAATCATCAAAAATTTGCTTCATTAACTTAATACCGCAATTTTGAGCTAGGAAAGAAATATAGTGTTTGATCCCATGGTAAGTTTCAGCCATTTCAGCTACAGTCACTTTCTCAGTGACTTTCTCAACGGTTTCGTTGTTGGTAATCCATGCAAAAGTAGCTTCCCAGTCTTTGGTGTATTTGCACACTCCTCTCTTTCATTTTAAAGAATTTGAAATCTCGCTGCTGTCACACTCATCACTCAAGGCCATTTTAGGTCAGTCGACACAAGCTACAGTACATTTTAAAAATGTGAACTATACATAATTTTATAATATATATTTATTTTAATCTCATCATTAATTTTTTCGGAGAATCGAGTTCAATGGATATTTAATCTTTGTCTCATTCTAATTTATGAAAAAAAAGACAAAACGCGATTCTCCTATCCTTATTCTCTTAGACTGTACATCTTTAGATTACGTACCATTTCATCATAAAGCTTTTGAATAAAAAAAATGTCCACTATTTTGTGAAAAAAAATAGTGAACATAATGTGAAAAAAGCGGACTGTCCGCTCAGATAGTGGACACCTGGCAAGGGTACACCCACCTCCTGGTATCTATGCATAAAAGTAAATGTATATAAATATAAATGTATACAAATAAATGTAACAATACTGAAAACTGCCCTCCCAGCGCCATTTCTCCTTTTTAAGGCGGGAAAGCGCTTCGGGAATATATGTTACCTGTGAAAGTGACTTTGCCTTCTTTTCTTAATATCCGTTTAATATCCAAAAGTTATCTAAGGTTTTACGGTAACCGCCCAAGTTCTTCGCCGTTTTCTTCGTTCTTTTTGTATCGTATTTAACGCCCAGTCCTGTTTTATTATTATTACCAGTTTTTGCATTAAGTCTTATGCTTTTATTTAAAAGATTACATTTTTTTTTAGGTCTGGAGCCCCAACTTACCTCAAAACCTCTCCGTCCCCGGGTAGGATTCCTGTCGAGTCGCGCTCAAAGAAATTCCGCCGAATTGAAATTCGCTTTTCCCGCCTCTTTATTCCGAACGGCTTCCCTCTCACCCGCCCCTTTTCACAACTAACCATAGAGTTGGGGGGAAGACTAGAGAGCCACGCAGGCTAGACTTCCGATAGTCGTCACGATTCTCCGGCACACCAAATCAGCTCTGATTGGGTTCAACATGTAGACGGAGGGAGGGAGGTGGACGGCACAGATTGGCTGAAGGGGAAAAAAAAAGGAAGCATGGAAATGGGTCAGATTGGCTATTCGGCCAATGGCTTTGGGGATATGATTGGCCGACATCGAGGAGCTACTGTAAGCAGAGGAAGAGCTTCAAGGCGGCAGCGCCAAGATGGCGTATCAGACTTTCCGGCAGGAATACCTGCAGGTGCCTCCTGTCACACGGGCCTACACTACCGCCTGCGTCCTCACCACCGCGGCTGTGGTGAGTGGGGGAGAAGGGTGGGCTCCAGTGGTCGCTCGGTGGTAGAAGAAGCAGTCGTTCGAGGGGAATCCGTAGAGCCTTCTCCTTTGACATACCTCTGCCTTGGCTATTGGGCAGATCTGCTGTATTTCTAGATTGGGTCGTGATGAACTTTTTTCCCCCCTCTTTGATTCCAATAATTAATTAAATTTATATGTCGCCCGTCTCAGTATCCGAAGTGACTCTGGGCGGCATAGAAACTTTGTGCAGTTTAAATTAACAGATATAACAGATTAGCAGAATTGGAAGGGACCTTATAGGTCATTTAGTCCAACCCCCCAAAGTTTTGAAGAAGAGTATATATCTGTGGCATTGAATGTAAACAACCTTTCCACTCCTGGGGACCCATCTGCTAAGAACCGACATTAGAACAGGCCATGAAGAGTTAGGATCCCACAGACTGATTTACCACACGGCTGTGAAAATTAAATCAGGCTGAGAAGAGAATTAAGAGAAAATTGTGTAAAATAGAATCTGGAACCCAGGCCATATATAATCAAAATATTTATTCTTCCACTGAATAGTAAATTAGCCTGAGAAACCATCTTCCAATCTACTTTATTTTTATTTATTTATTTTATATTGGATTTCTATACCGCCCTTCTCCCTAAGGACTCAGGGCGGTGTACAGCCAGATTAAAAAAACATGCAGAACAAATATTAAAAACAATTAAAAGATATATAAATTTGGCCCAATTAAAACTCATTTACCAATTAAAAACGTTTAAAACATTTAAAAACAGTTAAAAATTTCATCTTAAGCCAGCCCGGCTTGTTTAAATAAATGGGTTTTAAGGGCGCGACGGAAGGCACTGAGGTCTTGGATTCTCCTTATCTCTGGGGGGAGCTGATTCCAGAGGGTAGGTGCCCCCACAGAGAAGGCCCTCCCCCTGGGGGTCACCAGCCTGCATTGTTTGGCTGATGGCACCCCGAGGAGGCCCTCTCTGTGGGAGCGCACGGGTCGCTGGGAGGTCGTCGGTAGCAGCAGGCGGTCTCGGAGATAGCTAGGCCCTATGCCATGGAGCGCTTGCCTGCAGCATAACTAAAGTATCACCTAGCTATCCTATCATTTGCTAATATTACTGTAGATATTTTTCTGGTATACACATAAACTCACAGCTTAAAATATGGTGCAAAACAAAACAAATGGAAATGTCAGATACCTTTGATACATATATTTTAGAGCAGTGGCCTTTGGGATAATGTGCACATAAAAAAACACTCATTACAAGTTTTATCTTGCTTTTTTAAGTTATCTTAAAAAGTGGTCTTTGCTATAGCTATTTGTACTCATATTGTTGTTTTGCTTAGAATTTTGAAATAGAACAAATGGTCCTATTAAGAAGGTTCATCTTTATGGAAGGAAAGAAATGGTAATTTGATTTATGTTTGTGGGGGAAAAAACCCAGCAGGTTCTGCCTGATTGGTATTGGATGAAATCAGATGAGTGTTTATGCAAGGATAGAATGGTTATGAACCAGATTGCATTAGGTCAATCAAGGATACTTTATAAAT